TCTTCCCTGCTCACACTTTGTAGAGAGTAAGAGGTTAAGAGGCTGTCCTTTGCAGACTGTAAGTACCTTTACTGAGCTTTTATCCCCCACCCTTGTTTTTAAAACAAACAAATCAACGACTCAGACAGATGGCACATACCTAGTGCTACTGAAAGAAAGGACAACCACCCTACATTTAAATCTTTCCAAACTTAATCCATTAAGTCTTTTTGCTCCTTCTCATCAGCTGGATCAGGGAAAGGACCCTACTTCCTAATGTGATGATTCTTCCTCCCTCTCCGAAATCTCAGGACATGACCTATTTCCTCCACCAGACCAAGCTGGATCTAGCAAGATACTAAGAAAACAGAGGACAGTTAATCTTCCGTATCCCATGTGATTACAGCAAAATAAGCTCTGGAAAACGAGTGAAAGTTGCATCCCTGCCTTCTAGTTTGGACAGACAACAGGGTTCAGTCTTCAAGAAGAGCAATGTGGTGCAATTAAAAGCTGTGTTTGGATTAGTGATAGCTCCCTGCTAAACTCAGGAGAGTTATCTTCAACAGACTATGGCTTTCTCTTTGACATCAGTCAGCTCATCTCCAGCATGACTGCCTATTCATTAGCACTTGATTTCTACACAACTTTTGGCATGACAAAATACTTGAGAAATACTCAACTTAAAAAAAAAAACACTTTGTCCTCATGTTCTACAGACTTTTTTTGCCCCGCGCTGAACAAAAAATTGAATGTTTCTCTGTCTGGACTTGTGAGGAAAAGCATACAAGGTGTACACTGACACAAAGTAACTCCACAGGCTGTGCACACCCTGAAAACCTGAACTGGAGAAAAGCATTCCACGGGTCTAGTTATTTAAAACCAAATCAAAAAAACATTAGGGAGAGTGCAGCCTGAGCAGGAGAGCAGACAGGAGTTGAAAGTACACCATCTGGAACCGAGTACGAACGGCAGCTCTGTCAAAGGAAGTGGTATGCAGAAGACAAAGAGCAACTGCAGTCTATCATGGCAGTGGTATGACTGGTGGGTAAATGCACATCAAGCAGGTTATATTCTTTATTCTTATAGCACTGGAATAAATCTCTGCAGACTCTAGAGCATTAATTACATCAGCAAAAAAAATTGTTTCCCCTAGCAGTATTTAGACTCCATGACAATGAGTGGCCAGCCAAGCAGCAAGCTCCACCTAAAATGAAACTCGTTGCATATTCATTTGGGGAATTTCATGCTTTAAAGAGAGTCTATTATCAAAAGCAGATGTTAAAAAAAAAAAAAAAAAGTATCTTACTTGTAAATAAAATCCTTTATTTATTATTATTAAAAGTTAACACTGTTTTTTTGATGGCATATTATGCTTTTTGTTTTGGAGTTTGTCCTGTTTCTGTATTTATTATTATTCAGTCATATAAAATAATTAAATATAGGATATTTGATGAATCATCCTTACCCACAAATCACCCAGATGACTGTAAAGCATTAGTAGCATCTAAGTACTGCACTTTTTCTTTTTCTTTTTTTTTGGGGGGAGAGGGTGTGTGTGTTTTGAATCTTGGAAAAGAAAGAAGATGATGGCAGGTAACATTATAATCTACACCACCTCCACCACCACCCTCAGTCTAACTCAGTACTAACCCATACTTTGGAAAAGAAATACAACACCTAGTTTTAAGATTTCCTCATGATCTGAAATAACCAGTTTACTTCTGAAATATGAAACATAATAAGCTACAGGAAAATCCTAAGACTAAGGCCTGCTGAAAAGAACAAAGCTGTTCTGCCAATGATCATTTAGCATTTAGTACAAAAATGGCCATGTCTTCAAGAAGCAGTTAGAAGACTATTCCTCTAATATTCAGCTATTAAATTGAAACATTATTGACATATAATCCAATATCCAGTATTCTGGTATCAGCAAGCAAGCACACTAATGCCAACTCCCAAATTTAAGAAAGAACTGAGATCAAGATACAATATCCCCATTTAGAAGATGCTGTGACAACTATATCCCTGTCTACAATCACCCTATCATTAACATCCCAGACTCAAGATAAACTAACTCAGCTGGGTCCCAAATTACCCCTCAGTACTTATCTTGTGTGGCAGCTGCACCTAGGAGATATACAGATATTGAATAGGGAAGCTTAGAGTTTCCTAAAACTGATTCTGATGTTGAGGAATGATGCCATGTTCATGCTATCAGCAAAACATTTTATGACATATGGTGTTAGTCTCTTACAACAACAGAGACTTTAATTCATCTTTACTGTACTTTTCAACCATACCCTTTTTGGTAACAAAAAATGCACACTCACACACACACAAACACAATTAAAGAAAGATTTAACAATGCCTCATTTAAAAAATTGCTTCCTAGTTACTTGTACAGTTAAAGAGACTCCCTTACACTTAAAAACTAAACAGAACCAAACTTAGACAAACTGTTAAGTAACACAATCTCTCACGCGGACCCTGAAAACACTCAGTTCCATCAGATTCATCTCAGTGTCAAGCAAAGGCTATCAGTGTACACTTCCTCCTTTTTCCACACAAAGCTGGTAACTCTTTTTCCTGCTTAGAGGAAAGTAGTAGAAGTTGAAGGCTAGGATAGGAAGATCTGTACTTGCTAGTCATTTTAGACCCTGTTTCCAGTTTTACATCTCACTCGTGTCTCTCCTTCTAAGCACTGTGACTCGGAGTTGTTAAAGGAATTAATAATTTTAGAGACTGCCACATATCTAATCTGCTTAAATTAGTTCCTCCAATTGCATGTTTTCAGATTTCCTTACTGATGCTATAACATCTTTAACACTACTGTACCAGCAATTTTGTTTTGCTCCTGGAAAACGAAAGGATACATGTGGTTTCATTTCATCATTGTGCAGCAGAGTTATGCTCATTTATAAACTAAAATAGATGTGTTCTACATAAGATGCTTAAAAGCCACCATGCTGTATTGCCCACATAAAAGTTCTGCACCTTTTCATTAAAGCAGTAAAGATTCCATTCCAGGGCACCAATAAAGGTGTCATTATTGCAGATGAAATGTTGATTTCATACTCAAACTCCCTCAAAATTATACTCACTTAACTACAATGCAAGTTACATAAATCTATTTACAGACCTCATTTTATTTTCAAAATGACATAAGGGATAAATCCGTCCACACAGAAGAAACAACTATGCAGGCACCAACTGTTGCTCGTGTTCCCCTGATAGGACTGAACTGTTTTTTTCTTCCCCACTGTGTTCAAAACAGCAGCACTGTACAGTACAATCCATTCGAGAAGTTAAAGGTACAGCTAATAAAATAAATAGAATGCAATGGACTCTCAAAAACACCCATTCCAATAGGGAATTGTAGCCCTACTACCCATACTCTTCAGGAAAAAAAAAAGGCAAGAGAATACAAATGACACAGAGAAAGACACTGTACCCAGGACTTGGCAAGCAAGTAGGAGGCATTGAAGTCATAAGGCTCTCACCGTGCCTCACTCTGAGCCACAGCTGCTCAGAGCAGACCATAAAATACAGATCTCTGAACAGAGGCAATGACTGTTGCATTACATACAATCTCTAAATCTCTTGTAATACTAGTCTGTTTTTGACCCCACAAGTCACACTTATCGTAAAGTATCCACCAAAGACTTGAGAGGTAACTTCTGTTGGAATGACACAGAACACAGGTACTCCCAGCTATGGTTAATATTTTTCAGTGTAAAAGCCACCTTGAACTGCCATTTATCGTGCAGCACCAGCATTTGTTTCTCCTGGAAAACATGCATATGACAGATGCTCTCTTCTGCCAAGAGTACTGGAAGGACTGAGGTGGCCAGCATAACTGGTGACATTAACTTCAGAAACCTGCTGCATCAAGCTTCCTTCACCACAACCCCACAAACCATCCCATTCCACTTATCCAAGCTGCCCAAACATTTCTGTAAAGCTCCTTCTTCGGCTGCCCCAGTGCCACATCCTGCCCCCTCTATCACAAAGCTCCTCAGCGCTCTCCCCTTGCTTTTATCTACACACACTGACTCAACTTTCACATTTCATTCAAGTAGCACAGCACCATCCACCAAATAGCCCTTAGGAAGTTTCAGCCCTGTTACTACCACTCTTTCATGCAGGACGAATGTTTCCTTTTATGTCAGAGATGCCTAGACATGTAACATTCTGAGCAAGCCCCTCTAAGGCACATCAAACTGAAGGTTAACACGGAGTAGCAGTAGGGTCTTCAGGAAAATCTCTAGTATAGCACCAGAGCAACGAAACCATCAGACTCAAGCAGCTAAGCAGGTACTTTTCATCAGCAATAAAGGTAAGGCTTTTGGGTTTTTTGCTTTTTAGTGTTAAAGAGTGCTGCAAATATGCAAGTTAGCCAACTGAGTAGTACAGCATGACACACGGTGCTATACATGTAGCATACAAATAAAACAAGCTGAGCAGCTCAGTGTAAACACACATGTGTTTGGAAGAATCTGACCCTAGAAAAGACTACACATGTGGGGTTTCTTTACCTCCACCCCTCCACCCCCCTTCATGCTGGCTTCATGCC